ACATATATATTATTCTTATTATAGCCAAATTTACCACCCTAACTCCTCCCACAGTTTTTACGCTACATAGACAGTAATATACAGAAACGTGCGGATTGTTCCCGATTGGATTGCGATTACTTTGTGGAACGTTTCGCCGAAGGGTTCACTGAATATCGTTGTTCTTGTGGCGAAATTGGTCCCATAGGAATGAATGGCAAAATGTTCAAAACTAGAGTGGGAGCTGGCAAAAGATGAAAAATCAGGACATGATTTCTAAACTGCCACCACTCCCTCATTTTCAAGCCCACCTACACAAATCTTATATCAAAACGTTCAGCTATCCCTGCTGCCACTAAACATGTCCATGCCTAAGCCATAGTCCTGATAGTTTTCACAATATGACCATTTGTTTGCAACTCACGCCGTCCATTGACATTCATTGAAACTCCACTCTAGCCAGCTCAAATTTGAAGGGCAATTTCTAAACTGCAACTGTGCCTTCATTTATAATATTTCAGAGACATACTATGCATGTAGATCTGGGTCTTGTGATTCTCACAATATAAAGCTCTTCGCTGTAGGATTTATAGTTTTTAAAATATGACTGTTTGAAGATGGCAAATGCCAAAATACTCTGACCTGTCAAGGCTGCAGCAGCAAGTGATGTTATAGACAGGGCCTTTTGTACACCTGCTAATGTTTTTATAAATGTATGTTTTAATGTAACTGTGAAGCACTTTGGGCAACATCGTTGCAATTAAATGTGCTATATAAATAAATTAAAGTTGAAATGCATTTCTCAATCTATCAATATCGGCAATATCGGTATCTTTAGTGGCCAATACCGATATTGCCGAAAATACCGAATATCGGCCGATAATATCGGTAAAACCGATAATCGCTCGATCCCTAGTTGTAGACTACTGGTGAAGGCACGAACACTTCACACAATTTCCCCAGAAATTGTAGCTTTTCTAGTATATGATATGCTATGCTAGTTTTGACATGTGTTGCTGTTTTCTTTTCTGTCATGCATGTCTTACCTTTTGACTGACAATAAAAACAGATTGATAAAAATCGCAAATAAAAGCTACCTGATTATTGTGTGTTGAGTTTATTTTCTGCTTATATTCTAAAAGAGATGTTCTTTCTTTCTCATTTACCTAATTGGAAGTTTTTTTGTAATAATTCTTTTTGGTATCATTTATCTCTAAAATCCTTTAAAAAAAATTCTGCCTGTATCTGAAATGTGCTATTCTCTGTACAATTCCGTTTAACTCTTAATAGCTGAGCTTAAGGTGCGTCCAACAGCCACGGAGAAAATGGAAGCTGCTTTCCTCCATGTAGCTGTTGACATCCACTTTAAAAAAAAGTTTTGGTCTTAATTGCACTTTCCTCTATATAAATATTTAAATCTTAAAAATGTATAGAATATTTACTGTATTCACTCGTAATGGAAATTCCCCAGTCATTTTAATTTAAAAACCTTAACTCATTAAGAGAGGCTTCTTCTCCGTTCCAAATAAAAAATATATTGTCTATGTAACGGCGATATAGCACCAGGTTTGTACTCTATGCTGCCATATATAAAGTGTGTTTCCTAGTGGGACATAAATAAATTAGTATAACTGGGGGGCAAATCTGGTGCCCATCGCCGTCCTGCAGACTTGAAGAGTAGGTAAATTATCACGTGATAGGAAAGGTTTATTGCTGTTCATACAGTAAATAGTACATTAAGGAGTTCTGCAGAAATGAAAACACGCAGCTGGGTCTTTACTAAACTCTGATTTACAGTGAATGGAAAACTGAATTGCAAAATCAAGGCCAAAAATAATTTTTTTCAAATCAAACTTTGCCTTAAATTTGCAATCCACATTTCAATTTGCCTAAATTTGGAGTCACTCAATATATAAACTATATATACACACACATAGCAGTTTTTAACATTCAGTGTCTCTCCCGAGATTAGGTTCTGGATCAAACCCTGGCGCAATGTCTGGGTGACCTGCAGCCCATTGTTTCCCTTCCTGCCAGTTAATGCATGTAGCCTGGCCAAGCCGGGTAGAGGAAACAGAAGATCCTCTACTGCGATCTGCTCTGCCACGCTACTTGGAGGTCAGCAGACACATGAGAGGAGGGGGGAAGACACATATAAGAGCAGGGGGGCGGGAAATGAGACACATGGAGGGGCAGAAGGTGGAATGAGACACATGAAGAGGCTGGAAAGTGAATGAGACACATGGAGGGACTTGGGAGGAATGAGACACACAGAGGGGTAGGGGGAATGAAACACATGGAGGGGATGGTGGGAGAATGAGACAGAGGGGCTTAGAAAGAAAATCAAGAGACAAACAGAGGAGAAGGGGATAAAGAGCCATGCACAGTGGCAGGGGAAAAAGAGAAATGCACAGGGGCATGGGTGGGAAACACAGAGGGGCTGGGGAAGAGGATAATGACAGAAAGGGGCTGAGAAGGGAATAATGACACACACTGAGGAACTGAGAAGGAGATAATGACACACACAGAGGAGCTGGAGAAGGGAACAATAACAGTGGTGCTGGGAAGGGGATCAAGAGACACGCAGATTGGCTGGGGAAGAGGACAATGACACACAGAGGGGCTGTGGAAGAGGACAATGACACACAGAGTAACTGGGGAAAGGGACAGTGACACACTAAGGGGCTGAGGGGTATTAAGAGATACACAAAGGGGAAAATTGTGGGGTGTAAGACACAAAGGGGAAAAATGGAGGATAAAATTATCTAAAGGGGGGTAAGATACACACGGAGGGGTAAGACATTCAAAATAAGGGATAAGAAACACAAAAGAGGGGATATCCTCTGTTGGAGAGAACCCCCTCCAGGGCCCATTATTATTATTATTATTATTATTACTAGCATTTATAATGTGCAGGAAGTGTTATGGGTGCAATCTAGTACTATGGGCACTTTTTGGTACTGCAGTAACTGCTGTGCATGCTACCTAGTGCTGTGGCAATAGCTTTGTGTGCAGTCTCCTGCTGTGGTAAGTGAAATCTGGCACTGTGGGTGCAATCTGGTGCTGGTATGTGAAAAGTGCTGTGAGTACAATCTGGTGCTCTAGCTGTTACTGTGCATGCCCCTATTGCTGTGGCCAAGTGTAACACCAAATGCAGATTCTACATTTTTAGTTATAGTGCCTTGATCATGGGTGCATGACTAATGGAGTGCATTGCATAGTGTTAACATTAAAACAGATTAGAAATTGCAATACTTAAATCAGACAATGTCACATTGATTCTTCTAATGAGATTTTGCATCTGGTTTCTCAACCCCTTGCATGCCTTTGTTTTATGTGATAATGACTATACCAACCCCCTTTTATGACACTGTCAAAATGGGGCCGTGCATCGATGTCATTACAATTATGCCCCCCCAAAAAGATTCCTGTGGATGCCCATGTCCCTAGAGTACAGAGCCAGATCCTGCTTGAAGTAATTTTGATCACCCTCACCTGTGGATTTCCTAAATGCTGCCTTGGTTAACCCCTGCAACCCTGTTCCAGTCTTGGTTAACCCTTGCAACCATTTCCCAGCCTTGGTTAACCCCTGCAATCCTGCTACAACTTCAATCAAGCCTTTCATTATTTGCCCAGTGCTGAATCTCTGGCAAAATACTTCATTTTACCTTTAGGACTTTTTTTTAATTTCTTATGAAGATATTGCCTTCTTTTCCATTTCTATTTTGCATTAGGACTTTTTCATTATACTTATTTGCTTTATAATAAAAAACTTTAAATTCAGTGACTGTGTCCATATAAAATCTCTGCATACCGAGCCCATTCACCCCAAACCCATGACATGTTGTATGTTATTGTGATTATTTGTTTCAGTGTTATCCTATATGATAACGCATGGTGTGATCACCCTCCCAACATGTACCTTGTGATGGTCCCCGACTGGGTACCTCCATCGAGCTCACTTCCTAGCTCTCCTCTGGGACACAGGAGGGCCTTAGCCACTAGCTTCCACAGCTTGGTTGGGGTGTTTCTCGCCCTGGAACAGGGTCCTGGGTACAGCTTCAAGTGATTAAGCTCTCCTACAGAGAGTATAGCAGATCCACCCAAACACTAACCCAGACTGAGTGAAGGGTGTAAAGGAACTGGTTTATTAAGACCAAGTTGCCTGCTTATATACACAACTCCCAGCAGGGGAATCGCCACACAATACAGACCCCTACCATAAATCTCTGTGCCTGGCTATAATTGTGTTAAAGACCCCAGGAACAGGAGGGAATTATCTCCCAGGTACAGAGAGGCAAATATAAAACATAAAAAATCCCCCAAAACTTCATAAAAATATATAATAACTCCTCAAAATCTCATTAGAAGAATCAATGTGACATTGTCTGATTTAAGTATTGCAATTTCTAATCTGTTTTAATGTTAACACTATGCAATGCACTCCATTAGTCATGCACCCATGATCAAGGCACTATAACTAAAAATGTAGAATCTGCATTTGGTGTTACACTTGGCCACAGCAATAGGGGCATGCACAGTAACAGCTAGAGCACCAGATTGTACTCACAGCACTTTTCACATTCCTCAAATAATACATCCTCAAAAAATCCTGATCAGAGTGCCCATGTTCTCCAAATAGCGCTCAAATCCATTTTTTTTTTTTTTTTGGGTCCTTTAAGAATAATAGTCTTAGCTCTATATAGAGTAAATATAATTTTTATGATATATAATCTATAGAGGCAGTACAAGTATTAAGGTTTAAAACATCAAGACTGCTTCAAGAATAAATTTTCAAGGTCAAAATATTGATCCTAGTTATAATATAGTAATTACCTATATGAGAATTAAAAGATACAATTTATCTTATTTTATATAATAAATTTTGCTAAAGTAATTTTTTTAATTAATTTTACTATCCTCTTGTGCTTAGTCGTGCTAAATGAAAACGGCAGTTATATTTGAACCTGCTTAGGTGGGTGTTGCTATAGTAATAATAAAAAGAATTACAATATACTATCCTCTTGTGCTTAGTCGTGCCAAATGAAAACGGCAGTTATATTTGAACCTGCTTAGGCGGGTGTTACTATAGTAACAATAAAAAGAATTACAATATACTATGTTGTAGAATATAACATAGAGTAATGTTTTTCATTTGTGCTCTTATGTAGCTAATTAGGCTTACATTGTTAGCACATTTCTGTAAGCATCTATTTTTTTTGCCGGGAAACAGCAAGCCGGCTACTGCTATATAAACGGATACAACGAAGCAGACCGCATCCATTGAGAAAGCCGCCGAAGCGGAGAAACGCGTTTGGAGGGGTCTGACTCCCATCGATACAAGCCAGCACTCATACATCAAAGAGGACTTTTAAAATGATATTTTTCAGCATGCTTTTTGGTTGACTCGGGACGCCGAGATTATCAAATAAGGTCTGGACTTTCTTTCCTTTTGTGCATGGTTTTTTTTCTTAAAATAACTATTTTTAATAGATGGTATTTTTATTTGTATATTAATAAATTGTGTTTTACAATTATTATTGAGTACGTAAGTGAGACTATTATGAATAACTAGATGATAAGGTGTTTCTATTGATTTTATATACACAACTCCCAGCAGGGGAATCGCCACACAATACAGACCCCTACCATAAATCTCTGTGCCTGGCTATAATTGTGTTAAAGACCCCAGGAACAGGAGGGAATTATCTCCCAGGTACAGAGAGGCAAATATAAAACATAAAAAATCCCCCAAAACTTCATAAAAATATATAATAACTCCTCAAATAATACATCCTCAAAAAATCCTGATCAGAGTGCTCATGTTCTCCAAATAGCGCTCAAATCCATGCAGTGTAGGGGAAACGCCACCGTGTTAAAGTTCCACAATACAGGGTGCTCTGGCTGGCTCTTAGCATTTGTTCTCCTTAGTCTCAGACACCTTCTCTCCAAAAGTGGTTCAAAACCACAAACCAAGTTGTCCGGGAACCGCACGGTCACCTCATGGCAAAAACAGTTCCATAACATTTGTGGCTAAGTCCCGCTGAGGTTACCGGGAAACCCAAAAGTCCTCATGCCGAATTTAGTCCCATAATCATCGTGGCTAAGTACCGCTGAGGACAATTCATGGGTTTGGTTCATGCAAACGGCCGCCAGAGAGCCAGATTTCGGTTCCATTCGCATGAAGGGAAAGTGCCGAACCAGGGGCACCCAGGGCAAGCTACTAATAGCGGCCGGGGAGGTTTAACTCACGAACATAGTCTTTGTATATGGCCCATAGTCCTTGGGCAGGAGGCTAGCTAGCAACTGCTAACCAATATTTTTTCTGTATTCCCCTAGTAACAACAGTATATTGAGGGTTGATGAGCAATAATACTGAGGGCACGATATAAGTAGCATTGTTCAGCATTTCCACAGAGTAGTAAAAGGAACAATCCAACATTAAAATGACATTGACACACATGCATAGCTGTCAAATGTTGCACCTGAGCCTTTGAAAGTGTCAAATTCAAGGCCTCACATTTAGAGTGGTTGATCTTAAATCCTGAATTCCTCCAATTTCCTATACATATTAGGAAATGAGACTACCAATGAGGGCATCCGCAAATAAACTGAGTTTGTACTCTGCTGCCCCCACTGAAACCCCCTAATTTAATTACAAGCTTGGACCCTGTAAGCCAATAGCTCAATAGCCCATTTCTCATGTGAACAAAACAGATGTCCTAGTGGACTAGATCTACCATTCTCAAGTTATCCGATACCTCTCTCCCTGGGATAAAGCCCACCTGATCTGGGTGTATCAGGCTAGTTAATAAGGGATTTATGCAACATTTTTGGTATCAATAGTAATTATATATGTATATCAATGTAAATATAGAGTGGTAGTTTTGACACAACGTATGAGACTTCCCTTCCTTAAGGAAGCATTGTTATGCAAGTGGTAGCATACGTTTAGAGGGGGTTTCTGGCCCTGGAGAAAGCAATTATACAGGAAAGTGAATTGTGTGGCAGCAATATATCCTTAAACCTCTCAGCCTAGGGGTAGGAGCAACGCGAAGGATGGGGGTACTAGAGGGCACTATAGTGTTAGGAATACTGTAAAATAAAAAGTGGTCTGACATAGATTCAGCATCTAAGGGGTCAGTAATGGATAGTAGAATTGCTATGGAAATGTTATAATAATATTGCACCATTGTGCAGAAACTAGTGATCAAACCAATTTATATACAAATATATGAGAACGTCCAGAGCTTCACTGCTTAATTGTATGCAAAGTTCTGCTTCGAGGTAAAGTAACAGCTTTGTTCGTAACATCTTATCATCTCTATGTAACTAATATTTAAATGTCAGCTAGAGTAATTTAGCTGTGCAGAGAAATGTTTTGTTCCAGCAGCTGCAGAAGCTATTTTATTAAAGCTTTTAATGAAAGAGAATTTCAATATAATAAACAATCTTACGTAACACTGAAAATCTTATCCGCGACTCTTACACAATAACAGCTGCTGTTGTCTGAAGCCTGATCCCTCTTTATTATTCAGCATCATCAAGTGTGGTACAATAGGCTTTAAAATTTTGGCTGAACAAAAAAAAGCTTTACCTATGTATTGATAGTAACATCATGTCATCAGATCAGTGCTTTTGGATGAACTTTATTTTACGCATAGAAACATACAATCTGACGGCAGATAAGAACCAGTCGGCCCATCTAGTCTGCCCAATTTTCTAAATATTTTCATTAGTCCCTGGCCTTATATTATAGCTATGATAGCCTTATGCTTATCCCACGCATGACCCATCCCACACAGTTTTAAACCTTTGCCCCTCTAATTTAAGACTATGTCCTCTTGTTGTGGTAGTTTTTCTTCTTTTAAATATAGTCTCCTCCTTTACTGTGTTGATTCCCTTTAATCAGGGCTGGTGCTACCATAAGGCTGCACAGGCGGCCACCGTAGGGCGCACCGGCCCAGGGGCGCAAATGTCTGGGTGAACGGCAGGAAGTAAGCGCACATCGCTCCTCTACTGATGGTTATTTCTTGTAGCATGGTCGAGTTCCAATAGCTCGGCTGTCTGGCACAGAGAAAGGTGGGCCAGCGAGGGAGCTCCTCTCTATATCTTCTCTTCTGATATAGCTTCCTCGCGCGCCCCACAGTGGTGCCTGGGACGGAATGTGACGTCACACTCCAGACTCCCAGGACCTCTACAGGGCGCACAAAGGAGCTGAAAAGCCACAGGAAATGCTGTTACACAGTGGAGCTCTCTCACAGGAGTGCAGCACCAGCCCATTGGACCCCAGGATCCACTCCAATTCTCCAGAATGAAGGAAGACTGGATGGCGTAAGTGTGTGTATGTTTTCTCTAAGCCCCACATCCTCTAACACTGTCCCTTTCTCCACCACAATGCTGCCCTAACCACACAAAATACTGCTGCAGCCCCCCGATAATGCCTCTACCAAAATAATGCTCCTGTCCCCTAACACTTTCCCTAGCAATATACTGCCCCTTCCCCACAACACTGTCTCTACCAAAATACTGCCCCTGCCCCAACACTATCCCTACCAAAATACTGTCCCCGCCCCCAATGCTCTCTCTACCAAAATACTGTTCCTGTTTCCCAACACTGTCCCTACCAAAATACTGCCCCTTTCCCCAACACTATCCCTACCAAAACACTGCCCCCTGCCCCCAGTAATGTCCCTACCAAGATACTGCCCCTGCCCCCAATACTGTCCCTATCCCTCCCACAATGCTGCCCTTACTACCCAAAATACTGTCACTGCCCCCAATATGGTCCCTACCAAAATACTACCCCTGCCCCCAACCCTGTCCCTATCTCCTCACAATACTACCTCTGCCCCCAATACTGTCCCTATCCCCCACACAATGATGCCCTAACCACCCCCAATACTGGCCCTATCCCTCCCATAATGCTGACCTAACCTACATCAAAATATCCCCCACACAATGATGCCCCTGCCCCCAATACTGGCCCTATCCCTCCCATAATGCTGACCTAACCTACATCAAAATACTGTCCCTGTCCCCAATATTGTCCCTGCCAAAATACTACCCCTGCCCCCCCCAACACTGTCCCTTACTCCTCACAATACTGCCCCAGGCCCCCACAATACTGTTTCTCTCCACCCCCAACCACAGCCCCACTCCCCCACAATACTGCCCCTAGCCCCCCCACTAAAGCCCTAATCCCCAACAATACTGTTCCTTTCCACTGTCCATAGCCCTAGTCTCCCACCATACTGACTATACCCCCCATAAAGCCATATTGTACAGCGCTACAGAATATGTTTTTGCTATATAAATAATAATAATATTATTATTATTTACTGTGATTAGCACTTTGCATCCCTTCTGTCCCAACATATAAATCAGTGTTTTCATGTGTCCTGTGCCCTGTTATCGATTCTCCATGACCCAGTAGTGTGTTCATAGTGTTTTTGATATTCTATGTTATTGACCCAGCTCTCCCATTGAATATTCTCATTTTAATATATATTGATTAAATTGTTACAATTGCACTTGTCAGGGGGTGGGATATGGGATATAATCCCACTCCTAAATATATATATATATATATATATATATATATATATACACACACACACACACACACACACACATACATACATACATACACATACATACTCATTCATACTTATACCTGTCAGTGGTTCTAATGTTGCAGCTGATAATTATACATACTCCTATCACCATGACCAATATAAATCATTGAAGTGGTAATGGTGGTTGGAGTAATCTCAATGAAGTTGTCTAGATGCCATGTGCCCCTGTTTTAACCATGCAGACTAATTGCTGTTCTGCAGGAAAGGGAAAATTTCCTTACAGGGTTAACTTGCCCCTTGTGGCTGTCATACTCAAAAAAAAGTATTTCCTATACAGGGAGTGCAGAATTATTAGGCAAGTTGTATTTTTGAGGATTAATTTTATTATTGAACAACAACCATGTTCTCAATGAACCCAAAAAGCTCATTAATATCAAAGCTGAATATTTTTGGAAGTAGTTTTTAGTTTGTTTTTAGTTATAGCTATGTTAGGGGGATATCTGTGTGTGCAGGTGACTATTACTGTGCATTAATTATTAGGCAACTTAACGAAAAACAAATATATACCCATTTCAATTATTTATTATTACCAGTGAAACCAATATAACATCTCAACATTCACAAATATACATTTCTGACATTCAAAAACAAAACAAAACAAATCAGTGACCAATATAGCCACCTTTCTTTGCAAGGACACTCAAAAGCCTGCCATCCATGGATTCTGTCAGTGTTTTGATCTGTTCACCATCAGCATTGCGTGCAGCAGCAACCACAGCCTCCCAGACACTGTTCAGAGAGGTGTACTGTTTTTCCCTCCTTGTAAATCTCACATTTGATGATGGACCACAGGTTCTCAATGGGGTTCAGATCAGGTGAACAAGGAGGCCATGTCATT